TCTCTCTCTCTCTCTCTCTCTCTATTTATGTATCTAGCTCTGGGGAGAGAGAGCGAAACAGGACAGGATACACATGATATTATAACAAACGGTTACCACAAACTTCATACTCACTGCCTAAAGCATAAAATTCTGTCTTCTCTCCTACTCTCTTCTGCAGGACTATGAGCTCTCCTCCTGTAACTGAGAGATTCTTTTCTACCTCTGTAGGTTTTTAAGACTCATTTTCACACAGAGTATAATACACAAGTTCCCAGGGTGAGTTTCATTCATTTTAAATCATTACTGAAATGTTTTAAACCATTAACCTGGAAACAGCAGATCCCAGAGACTCCTGAACCATCGTCAGTTCATCCTGGATTCCGGAGATCACAGGCCAAACAGCTGGAGTGGGAGTGGGACCTGTATCATCCTGGACATTAGCTGACAGGAATCCAGGCAGGATGGCCACTCACCTGCCAGAAATGGACTCTGGACACGCATGCCTGTATCATCAGGATCTCTGGAGCTTTCTCTGAAGACAGTGCTAGGAGCACTGTGTCCTTCCACAGATCCTGATTATCACAGAGAGATCCTGCTTCCCACGCAGGCAGTAAGGAATTTGTCTCTGTTAGTATCCCTCCAAACACAGAAGGCATTTTAAGTTACTGCTCTTCTAGGAGAGGGACCTGCACCCTGCCTTTGACTCTTTCCACTATGCCACACCCACCACGGGATTTGCATATTGTCCCCTGGGGAGGACTTTGCCTTGAAAGTCTCAGATAAAGGTCAGCTCTGAGCATGTTCTTACTTACTGGCATTCATCAGTTCAGCTTCTCAAAATGAGGGTCCCTTTTCAGCTCCTGGAGATGCTGATGCTCTGGGTCTCAGGTAAGAGCAGATGGGGGAGGAGATGGGAGATTGGGGTGGGGAGGGTGAGCTGTCTGGGTTCTATTACTTCCTAGTGTGTTCTGTTCAGGGGTGAGATGACCCTGCAGAGGGGAATTTAATTTTAAGACCTGTGAAAATTATGAGGAAACTTAAGGGAAAAAAGAACAGTGCTTTAGTGAGATGGTGAAAAAAAAATTGTGGCCACTCTGTGCCCTGCAATTCTTGGGTTATCCATAGAGATTGGATATATTTAAAGTAGGATTCAATTCACAAGATGTGATATATCCTAACATAAATGAAATTTAATATAATAAATATGGCTTATAATATTTCTCCATAACCTGTAGTTATTTCTCATTATTTTAGGATCCAGTGGGGAAATCATGATGACAGACCCCACGTCCCTGCCCATCACCCCTGGAGAGCCAGCATCCATCTCCTGCAGGGCCAGTCAGAGCCTCGTACACAGTAATGGAAACACCTATTTGCATTGGTACCTGCAGAAGCCAGGCCAGTCCCCACAGGGCCTGACCTACAGGGTTTCCAACCATTTCACTGGGGTCCCAGATAGGTTTAGTGGCAGTGGGTCAGGGACAGATTTCACCCTGACCATCAGCAGGGTGGAGGCTGACGGTGTTGGGGTTTATTGCTGCGGGCAAAGTACACACGATCCTTCCACAGTGGTTCAGGCCCAAACACAAACCTCTGTGTTTGGTGGTCCCCACTGGGCACATATTTAGCCTGAGTGGGGAGTGGACACAGCAGAGTCTCTGAGCTGGCGTCAGAGGCAGGTGCTGGGGAACCCAGGGCACTAACCTGCAGTTGAGTGCTCTAGACCGAGTCCTGGCCCCTGGGTGCCAACAGCCTCAGCAGGGCACAACCAGCTGTGGAAGGGATGTGATCAGCCTGAGGTCTGAGTGGTGAGTGTTAGGTCCCCCAATAATGGGTCTGTGATCAAAGGAGTGAGACTGATACAAAGCGAAGGTCAAGCAAAGCTTAATTTTGAGCAAGCATTGAGAATCAAACTGACCATCTCTTACAAAGAGGTAACCCCTCCCTGCCTTACCGACTAACTTTCATAGAGCAAAGGCCATGTGGTTGGGCCTGGCCACACACAGGTGGCCAGTGAGATTGTAACACACAGAGAATGCTGCACAGTCATGGTAGGTCACACACAGGTGGCCAATTGAATTACAATTTACCCTAGTAGATATTTGAACTAGCCTATCACTTTGGTCAGAATTGGCACCCAAATGGGGGGACCCACACTTCTTGGTAGTTAGGGAGACAGTATGCACGCCCCACTGATTGGATGTCTCCACCTGGCCTGACCCGCCCTTGTATTTGGGCTTTGTTACCTGGGACTGGTAAGTTCCCTGAGTGGGGGGCAGGGTCAGTTTAGGTTTTACTGCATATACAACAAAATCACTGTTTAACCAGATGGAATCTCTCTGGCTAAATAGTCCCTTACAGTGAGCTGCCAGGGAGAGCCACACTGAACCTCACCCTGACCCTCCTGGCCTGTGTGCGTGCATCAGGGACAGTTACCCAGCCTGAGCATCAGAAACCTGAGCCATATATGGGACAACGAGAAGTTCCATACATTTTTGAGCTAACTAATTTTGTGATATTTTCAACAGGATAATATTTAGTATCATTCAGAAATTAGTTTGTTTTCTATTTCCACTCTCTCACCTTCTTCCTTTCCCAGTTACACTAACTGCTCATGTACAGTGTTCCCTATGGAAAAAGGATATCCATTTTCATACAACATACATAAGAAACATCATTCAAATAGGCTCCACTTTTAAACATAAAACCCCAAAACTTTAACCCTATGCAAGAAAATACATAGCAGAATATATGGAGATAGGAGTACAGAGTAGGAGGATCAGATCCAGGAAAGAATATCTGGTTTCCATTCCTAATTCTTCTGATCAAGGAAAGGGTCCTGAAAGCAGTAACTTCCAATCACATCAATTATAGAGCTAATCGGGCACCATAAAATGAAACCAAAACCCACAGTCTTGAGGCCCCCACACTAGGATCTTACTAGTACCTTACTAGAGTAACCCTGTGGAAGGAGGTTCAGCAGCACTGGGCACATTTCTACACCACACACAGCACCTTGACCTCTCAAGGCTGACCCCAGCATTCTTGTCTCAACACAAGGAGGGGCTTGATGCTCATAATAACCTCTCTTTGTCCTTTAAGGTAGGTCAACTGTACAAAAATTGTAGCAGTCAAAGCAATGTGACAAGATATTCTGTGGTCTTGGGGTGGGAGGGGGTAGAAGGAAATAAATCTCAACCACAGATAATTCCATAAAAAAAATGGAGGGGAATTTGGGGATTGGGAAACAGTACTTGACTACAGTACTTCAGTTACTTAAAGTTGCTGTCCCTGGAAATTCTCCCCATTGGAAGGGATCCTAAAAACTACCAAATTCATTCTCACCATTTCTCAGGATCCTCCCAGTCCTCACCCTGTGTATCCCTTCATCTAGCTCTTCAACTGGATCCTTTCTCATATCCCTTAGTAAACTGGTAAACACAAGTAGGTTATTCTCTGAGTTCTGTGAGCTGCTTTAGGAACCTAATCATACCTGAGGAGGGAATCATGGAACCCCGTGCCTGCCGCTGGTCAAGGACAGGGGCTCTTCCTCTACGCCCTCCACTCCCATTAGATGATGACACTCCTGATGGGCTAGTTGTTCTCAAGCTAGGGTCTCCATGCCGCCCTGTAGAGCCACAGGCAGCAGCTCTGGAGGATGAGTGTGGACTCGAAGCCACTGAAAGCAGACCCAGAGCCAGGAGGCTGTGCCCTTCAGTAAACTGCATCTTGAAAGTGCTTGGTGTCCTCCACACAGCTGGTCAGGGACCACCACTTGACTACTGTGCACTGGAGCTTCTCCATCCCTGGGTGGTTCCTTGTGCCCAGTGTCTGGGACAGTGGGGACACCTCCTCCACAATGTGCAAGAACAGCAGTCTCCTTCCGAAACATACATATGGGATGGATATAGACCCAGATTGGAGGCCTTCCCTTAACAAAGCTAAAGTCATTTTTCTTTCCTGTCACAAACTTTAAAAATTCCTTCAAAGTCCCAGAGTGATAACAAAAACAATGTGATAGACTCTCTATACATTCCATAGATAATGTATGTGAAAATAAATATAAAAATAAAATAAAAGTGAAAATGAGGGAATCTGAGGAGAAAGGAGGAACCACTATGAAAAGACCGGCGTCTCTGGCCAGTGCATCACGGGTGCATGATGGTACAGCAGGAGAGGAAGTGATGATATTCCGGGTAAGGATCTGACCTGTGTGTCCCCACTCATGTCCACTTTCGAGGGCAACCACAGGGCTGCACACCCCAGGGAGCTGGCTTAGGCTTTTGTTCTACTGCATCCAAGTTCCACTCTGCCTCTGCCCAATCCTGCCTTCTCTTTCCAGAGGTGGTGATGTCAGGAACATTCCCCAGCCAGTGTTGCACATGCTATATTCGATGTGAGTCTGCTTTCTGGGGAACAATCCCTGTGACCAGTGATGTCAGAGAGTAGCACAGACCACATGGTCAGAATAACCTGCATAGGCAGAAGCTGTTCATTTTCTAAAATGGACAGGGATAGAATGATGTCAGAAAGAGAGAATGTGGCAGTAGATAATTGAGCACACATTATGAGAAATTAAGTCAATGTGTTGACCCTCAGACTGTATAATACAGAATGTATTATTTCTCTCTAACTGGCAAACTCTAGCTCAGGGTTGCTGAAGCCTAAAGTCACAGCTTCTGACTCAGTTTCTAGACCTAAGTCAGTTCCTGCTCTCAAGCACATTGACTCAGGGGAAGGCCAGGTCTCAAAAGAAAGACCTTAAGGTTTCGCCACAGATGTATTGAGAAAATCTGGCCTCCTTATTTTCCTTAAGGAACAGGGGTCTTAGGGCTTGAGCTCAGAATGTGTCCTCTCTGCCCTGATGAGAGAGCTCTCTGTTAGAAGGATACATGGGGGAAAGCAGTCTTCTGGCATAGGAGACAAGGGAGCAAACCTTCCACAGGGAAAAAGCAAACACACAACAAACAAACAGTCCATTTCAAATTAAAGCGGTGGAAGAGTATTTGTTAACTGACAAGAAAGCTGTAGGAGTTCATGAGAATTCCTCAGGACAGAAGTTCCTTCCCTCACAGGAGACACTTTGGGGTTGGGGATGCACATTGCTGCACAGAGTTAGAAGTTTAATAAATAGAGGGATTATGAGGTGGCCTGTGGTCAAAGGGAACTTCTGTCTCACTTTCCCCGATTAGAGTGTGGGGACTGGGGGCCCTGACCAAGGATTAGCATTGATACAAGAATAACCTTCACAGCCGACATAAGACATTGCTCCCATTTCTTCAAAGGACTCACATGAATCTCGGTCCTACAAAAGTCATTTAGTTATTTACTTCTTCCAAAAGAACAAAGAAGAGAAATAACAATATTGGGAAGGAATTCAGATTATGTATATGGAGATCAGGGTTTTGAAATATCTAGATCATTGAATCTCATAAATCACCTGCTTCACATGGTTCAGAAATAACTTAAAAAGTCAGAAGATCAACACATTCACATATATATGCGAGCTGCCTGGAGCCAAAACTATTCTCTGTGCATTCATCCACTAGTGGGTGAGTATTTGCAGTTATTTAGAAAAGGTGACCCATTTCAGTCACAGGTTCCAAGAATCTACCCAACAGACCTCCTTTTGGAGACCCTCCCTCTGCTAGGTGGCAGAGAGAACTTCCGTTTGGGATCAGTTAGGACACAGGTCTGTTGTCTCTCAAGTTCACCAAAGCATTATAAGTTTGTGCTGTTTGGCTGAGAAAATGTATAGATCAAGTTCTACAGAATGTATAACAGCATCACACTCCCCACCCACACACCCTGACCCCAGAATAATGGACTCAACTTAAACAAAGTAGCAAGAGAATCATCCCAAGGGACACAAATGACACATTGGCTTTCAGTTTTATAGATTCCAAAGGGACGTCCCCTGGCAAAGAGACAAAAGTGCAATGAAACCCACTTGTGTAAGTCCTTGCTCCTTGAGGTGATGTTGGTCAAGATTAGAGACTCCTAGAGCCCTGTTCCCCACCTGGACCTCATGGAGGTTCTCCTTACATCCCTTATAGATGTTGATGATTTCTGTGTGGTGTGCAATGACCAATGTTGATGAAGTCACTTTTATTGTCCAGGGTACAACAAAGTTCCTATATACACAGGAGATAAAGACTCCTGTTAGGAATTAGGAACAGTCTTTCTTCAGTCTACAGTTAGCAGAGGAAAGTTTCAAAGACTTCTCTGTCAAGAAAGAAGCTCTAGAAGGTTTTTGCATTTTTTAGGTATTTCAGGGCAAGAAATTCTGAGATAAACAACCAAACACAAAAGGAGACTTTTAAAGTTTTCATGTTAAGTTTTGTAGGAAATAGTAATACTTTTGAAGTTCAAGCATTCTTAGGAATAGGTTGTACAAAAAATAGTTTCAAAACTGATACACAGTAAATAAACATGATGGATGAATAATTTTCAGCCAAATTTCCACACATTGAGGTTTCACATATGGTGATGGATAATGTGATTCTGATTTCCTTAGTATATTTGACACACAGTGTCAGATACTGTGATTCTTAATTTAGCATGTGTAATGAATAGCTTTCAAACTCATCTTAAGATTTATGATATTATCTTTTATTGTCCGTTTTGTTTTTTTCCTGACTTTATTCATTTCCACTGGTTTAACTTTCTGAATCATTCATCAGCAGGATTCGTTAGGAGGGCCGGCATTTTCAAGAATAAGATTCAGGATTGCTTGGCTCGCACTCTAAGAAAATATCAAGGGAGAAAACACATGAAAGAGTAAATAAAATGACAACTAGTAATATACAGGACATGGGCTATTAGTCGTAGTTCTATCACAACTTGTCATCAGCACCCAAGTCCATCCATAGAGTTCAGGGTTTACTAACACTACCATTGTTACATAATAATTCTTCCAACTGTGGTACAAAATCTCACTCTAGGACTCAACAGTTCAGCTTCTCAAAATGAGGTTCCCTTCTCAGCTCCTGGGGCTGCTGATGCTCTGGGTCCCAGGTAAGAGCAGAGGGGGAATGAGATGGGAGATTGCGGTGGGGAGGGTGAGCTGTCTGGGTGCTGTTACTCCCTATGTGTGTTCTGTCCAGGGGTGAGATTTCGCTCCAAGAGAGGAATTTAATTTTGAAATCCAAGAAAATTATGAGAAATTAAAGCAAACAAAGAACAGTGCTTTAGTGAGATGCGAAAAAAACAAAAAACAAAAAACTGTAGCCACTCTGTGCTCTGCAATTCTTGGGTTATCCATGGAAACTGGATATATTTACAGTAGGAATCCAATCACAAAATATGATTTAGCCTAATGTAAATGAAATTCAAATTCACAATAATGGCTCATAATGTTTCTCCATAACCTGAACTTATCTCTCATTGTTGTAGGATCCAGTGGAGAGGTCATGCTGACAGACTCCACTCTCACTGTCAGTTACCCCAAAGAGCTGGCCTCCATCTCCTGTAGGGCCAGTCAGAGCCTCCTACATGGTAATGGAAACACCTATTTGAGTTGGTTCCGGCAGAAGCAAGGCCAGTCCCCACAGGGCCTGATCTACAAGGTTTCCAACAGTTTCACTGGAGTCCCAGACAGGTTCAGGGGCAGCAGGTCAGGGACAGATTTCACCCTGACAATCAGCAAGGTGGAGGCTGAGGATATGGGAGTTTATTACTGTGAACAAGGTACACATGAGCCTCCCACAGTGGTTCAGCTGAAAGCACAAACCTCTCTGTTTGGCAGTCCCCACTGGGCATGTGTGTTGCCTGAGCAGGAATGGGCACAGCAGAGGCTCTGAGCTGGCATCAGAGGCAGGTGCTGGAGAACACAGGGCAGTAATGTGCAGCTGAGTGCTCTGGACCGAGTTTGGGCTCCTTGGCAGCAACAGCCTCAGTGGGGCACAACCAGCTCCAGAAGGGACATGATCAGCCTGTGGGCTGAGCAGTGAGCTGGAAGGCAGAGCTGCCATGAAACTTAACCTGACACTCCTGGCTTTTGTGTAGGGAACAGGAACAGTTACTCCACCTGAGTGTCAGAAACCTGAGCCACATTTGTGGCAACACAATTACATACATTTTTGAGCTACGAAATTCTGTGATATTTTCAGTAGGATAATATTTGATATTGTTCATAATTTATTATTGCTTATTTTCCCACTCTCTGAATTTCTTCTTTCCCAGTTACACTAACTGTTTTTGTGCTATATTCTCTAGATAACATTCTATGCACACTAACCTCACAGGAAATATGGCTGAGAAGGATTAGTAAAACTTTTTCTTCAAGCTCCCAAGCAGACTTGTAAACCCATAGCAGATATAAGCTCCTAATCCTGTAAAGACGATGTCCATATATATAATGAAATATTATTCAGCCATAAAAAAGAATGAAATCTAGCCATTTGGCACAACATGGATAGGCCAATAGGATATTGTGAGGTGAAGTAAGTCCAGATAAAGGCAAACATCATATGATTTCATTTATATGTAGAAATATGTAGAAATCTGGCTTCTAGATCAAGGTCCTGACTTTGCCATTCAAATTTTAATCCAGAGAAAAAAATCTCACGAAGGAGAAAACACTAGCTCTCGGTCTATCCTTGTGCTGGAACCAATGCACATCATTTTTTTCCCAACATATTTTAACATAAAAAAAAAAAGACTTCTAGTAAAAAACCAGGAGCAAAGAGCAGTCTGCTTTTGTCACTAGAAAACATTTTAAATTTGGAAAGAACAGCAAAACAGATTATAAGAGGGAGGCAAACAAAAAATATGGAAGACGGGAGAGATAAAGGACTCACCACCTGGACGCCTTCTCCCTCAACCCTTGTCCTCTAAACCACAGAGATACGCAGTAGCCTGCCTCTCTTCTAAAAGTGCCCTGAACTTCTGTGTTTCCCTGGGAGCCTACTCACAGACCTTCTGTCACCCCCTTCTGCCTCTTCTAGACTTCTAGGTCTGCCTAGAAAGTGGAAGAACAGTGTTTGAAATCAAGATAGGTAGACTACACCACTCTAGGATCACTCCTTATTGCAGACAAACACCAGCCCCAAAGTCTCTCCTTGTTTCTGGAATATTTTAGTTCCCGCCTCCTAGAGCCTCTCTCAGCCTGTCACAATTCCAGGTGGTTTCAGTGTATTCAGTATATGACCCTTCCATTACCTGCTCTCTCAGTTGTTTGGCTGACCCTCCTCCAATTGTCTCTTCCCCACGCAATCTTGATCAGTCACTCTCATGGACATGCCTTAAGAGCACCATCAGAAAATCATGACAAGTTCTCCATCATTACAATCCTGAGCATCTCAGGGACGCCTGGGTGGCTCAGTTGTTTGAGCCTCTGCCTTCAGCTCAGACCATGGGGTCCTGGGATGGAGCCATTCTCAGTGGGGAGTCTGCTTCTCCTTCTCCCTTTGCCACTCCCCTGCTCATGCCCTCAGGTGTTCCCCCCCCCCCCCGCCCAACTAACTAACTAACTAACTAACTAAATAAATAAATAAATGTTTTAAAAAATGTTGAGTATCTCAGCCTTGACCCATTCTAAGAACTCTGCAGCTCAATCCACTGGGTATGCCACTGCCAATAATTTCTGGCTTTCATTACAGTAAGACCTGATACTATAGGAAAAATATATGTTGTGTTTCCATGGAAAATTTGGCATCTCTGTAGCGTACCTTTCCATGTTATCAGGGTCCAACCCTGGTCATTATCTTTGAGCTATCTTGCAACTCTTTATGAACTGTTGATAACTGATAGATGGATGATTCTGCACTGTCTGGTAGTGACTTAACTGACATCTTACCTCTCCTTGGAGAACCAGCCTGCTTCTCTGCAGTTCATTCCTTTTGACTTTTCCTTTGACCCACTTACATCTTCCTAGTTCCCTCACAGCATATGAGTAAAATAATTCAACATGTGTTCATCATTAATATCTCTCAATGAGAGTCATAATTTTACTGTTTTCTGAAAATTAGCTTTTAGTGAACTTTTTAGTGACCTTCCTATATTTTCTTCTCTTTAAGCCCTTGATAGTCTTATTTCCCCCCTTCCTCAGCTGAATTCCATGATCCTTCTTTATAACAACTCCCTATATGCAAGTTCTTGCTCAGCCTTCCATTGTTTCATTTCATGTAGCAAAGTCCCAACCCTCCACATGCCTGCTGGAGGAAAACACACAGCAATCCTGACTGCTCCAACTTTGATTCATGACCGCTTACCTCCTGAGGCCCTTCACCCTGCCCCACAATCATACTTCACTTCCCTGGTATCATCAGTCTTCACTCTTTTTCTTTCCTTCTTCAGGTTCTAACAGCTCCTCCTCCATCCTCATTTAAAGCCAAGTATGCCATTTCCTATTTCCTAGGTCAAGATGGTCAGCACCCCCCTGAACTGAAATGTGAAAGAGAGGAAGGAAATGTGAGCCTTTCTACATCAGGAGTATCCATTGACCTTCCTGGTTCAGCCAACTTTAAGCACACAAGCAAGCCAGGCAAGATCAATCAAGATCAATCAAGCCTGGGCCCATATTAGCAGAACTGCACAGCCAACCAATAAACAAGACAACAAACATGCTACCATTTTAAGCCACTGTATTTTGTGGGTGATTTATCAAATGATGCTAGCTAACTAATACATCATCTGATTTTAAGTTTCTACTCACTCTTACTCAGCAAGCTTTTATTCCCTTCCTTCCATTACTTTTCTTTATAGCCCCTCCAACACAACATATTAAATGTTTACTGATGCCATTGATTATCGCCTGGCTCTCCTAGCTGGGGTGAAAGCAGATGTATTTGCTCTGCACACAGAGGAAGCCCTCAGAAAACATACTTTGAATGAGAGAAATGGATCCCTTAATAGCAATCCTTAAAGTAGGTTTCTAATTATTAAGAGAAGCTGTTTCATAGGCAAATGCATTTGGACCACACTGACCAGGTTTGCTGAGGTCTTTCCCGAAGCTATAGTACATCAACCCATGTATTTCAGAAGTAGGTGAGGAAATAATACTAAAATGCTCAGAAATTCTCCATTTTCACACAGACTTGGACGTGCTCATGAAATGTTTTCCAAGGGACTCAAGTTATGGCACACATAGAGCCGTGATTTCCTTCAGTCACAAGATTAGACCTGAATGCCCAAGGGATGACATTAAAGAAAAAGGTGACAAGTGGTGGAAAAAGGTGCTGAGGCACAGCATCCCATGTTCCTAAAGTGACAGGGTTGAAGAGTGAGGGCATCAGCGCGCCTGGGTGGCTCAGTCTGTTGAGTGTCTGACTCCTGATTTCAGCTCAGCTCATGATCTCAGGGATGTGAGATGGGGCAGGCCCAGGTCCCCACTGAACAGGGTGTCTGCCTGAGAGTCTCTCCATCTCCCTGGCCCACTCCTCCCCAGCAATAAATAGATAGATAAAAATCTTAATAAAAAAAAAAAGAAAGAATTGCCTTTGTGAGAATGAGTACGCCTGGGAGAAATGGAGAAGAGAGAGAAGGGAGGTAGGAAACGAGCTGGAGCCGTAAAGAATGTCCAGGACACTGCCCAGGAAGGCTGGGAAACAGGGCCCGTGGAAGGAAAAAGCGAGAGGGACACTACCTTCCACGTGGGAGATTCTGAATAGGAGAGCTCAAAGGTTTCATCCTGGGAAGGTTCAGAGTGGGAGGGTGATGGAGGGTTAAAAAAGGGAATAAGGAAATAAAAGAGAAATGTCCCAGAGTCCAAGCGGAGCAGGAAGAGAGAACTGATCCCGGGGTGTAAAGTTCATGGCCCTTTGTCAGAGGCTAAAGACAAACCTTCCTGGCTCACTTCTGCCATGGGACCTTGGGAAACACGCATCTTCCTGGGACACAAAAACTCCTGGCAGCATCCCTATTACAACTTCACAGCATTTATCTTCATTAACCTCCCACAAAGAGGGATGCAGGAGGGATGACTGGGTGGCTCAGTTGAGTTAAGCCACTCAGTTAAGTGGCTGCCTTCAGCTCAGGTCATGATCCCAGCATCTTAATGGAGTCCCTCATTGGGCTCCCTGCTCAGTGGGGAGCCTGCTTCTCCCTCTGTCTCCTGCTCCCCCCGCTTGTGCTCTCTCTCTCTCTCTCTGGCAAATTAATAAATAAAATCATTTTAAAAAAGGGGTGGGGGATGCAGGAATAGTTCGACCCTTAATTTTCTGCTGAGCCTTACAAGCCCTCCAAAGAGTAAGTTAGGAGACGTGACTTCTTGGGCAGATAGGGGAACAGACATGTTCAGCCCTGAGTGAAGAGGAAGCAGCTGGTGCAGCAAAGCCTCCCTGACCCGCGGCCCCGGGGAGCAGGTTTGTGTTTGAGGCTGAAGCACTGTGGGCAGATAGCTATAATACTGCTGGCAGTAATAGTCCCCCACATCTTCGGCCTGGAGGTTGCTGATGGTGAGGGTGAAGTCTGTCCCAGACCCACTGCCGCTGTACCATTCAGGGATGCCCGAGGCCCAGTTGGATGCAAAATAGAAGAGGAGCCTGGGAGCCTGCCCAGGTTTCTGCTGGCACCAGGCTACATATTTGTTAACACTCTGACTGGCTCTGCAGTTCATAGTGACCCATTGACCTGGAGCCAGGGAACCTGGAGACTGAGTCATTGTGATGTCCCCATGGGAACCTGCAATCAGAAAAATGGTGATACAGTCACATTTTATCTCAGTCACACTGAAATATGTCATTGCAAACGTGCTTCCTAATGATCCCACATGGCAGTACATCATTGGGTCTATTTTGGAAATAACCAGTGTTTCTCAT